GAGTACGATTACGTGTTCGACGTCGATGTGACAGAGGGCGCTCCGCCTCTGAAATTGCCTTTCAACCTCGGTGAGAACCCATACTTTGCGGCACAGCGCTTCATAGACCAGAACGAGCTTTCGCAGGCGTTCCTCGGGGAGATCGTCAAATTCATCGACAAGAACACAGACCAGCAGGCTTTGGCCCATGCTTCAGCGTCAACTTACATCGATCCTTATACCGGCGCAGGCCGGTATACAGGTGCCAGTCCCAGTGCTCTGCCGACGCAACAGGCTGTGCCGAAGGCGACAGGAGGCTACTCGGGTTCTGGGAACCTCGATCCGTACACGCGTTCAACAGCTGCCGCTGTAAGCTCGATCTCTAGCACTGGTGTTTTACCACTCCGCACGCCCCTTGGATTCAAGCAGCTTAACCCCGCTCCGGTCAAGGCGAAGATCCAGGATCTGGCCGATGCGCAAGGCGGCCTGAGTGGCGAAGAGCTTAGCAAGCTGAACTCGTTGATCGACCAGGCGGCAGCTGCAAAAGCCAATCCGGCGTTGGATGTGGGCTTGCTGGAGAAACTACTGCAAGCGTGGCCGCCAGCATCGCGCTTCCCGCTACTGGACGTGTACCGCATCGCAGCTAGCTTGCCAACCACCAGCTCGACAGAGCGAGTCATCGGCATCGCGCTGGACGCAGCCTCGTGGTCTACATCCTGGCCAGCGCAGCCCGCAGAGGTCAAGGAACGAGACACCAACAGCATGCTCGCTTTGAGAGCCTTGGCGAATCTGCTGACGCGCAAAGATGCGTCACAGCAATTACTCCAGATCGCTCCTTCGGTGAGAGCATTCATCTTTGGCACTGACAGAGAAATCTAGAAGGAAGCCTAAATATCTTGTGTCTTCCACAGCTCATTGAGCCCCTGTCGGGTTCTCACTTCTCAAAACTTGGCAAAAATGGACGAATCGCTTTTGCGACCTTGACCATGAATCTTGCTGTTGCGGTCAACGAAGCTGGTGCGGCACAGCCATGGGCTACAGATCTGCTGCGCCTATTTGTAGAGGTGAGTAATGGTTGCGATTCCCAACCCGATTTTGCTCTGATGTATCCTTCTACGCAATCTAGATTCTTTCCGCGGAGGACGGAGACAGCGAGGTGGTTTACCGCAGCATGATGGGATTGGGCACGCTGATAAGGTCATCATCCTCAGTCCAGCTCTCTGTGGAGACGCTC